ACAGGGAAGAGACACTGGCTCCAGATGTGGGTTGTCCATGGACCACTGCTGAGGCTAGGCCCCTGGTAGCTTCAGGGCACTGTTAACAGACTGGAACAAATAAGAATTTGTAGCTGTCAGCTGATAAGCCCCAGTCAGGCAGTGCACATATTCCAAGCCACCACCGAGGGAATGGTATTTGTGGCTGGAATATGGACCATTTGTGACCAGAACATGCTTAGAGGTCTCTGGGATTCTGGGGGTTGGCCCTCCATCCTGGAAAAGAAGGAGTTTCAGGGGACCTTCAGATCCCCAAAATGGCATGGTTTACAGGGAAATTAGAATTAGAGAAGTTCCCCCAGGAATGGTGACCACCGCAGGGTAGGAGCTTCCCATTTGTGTTTTGTCAGGAACTCTTGGAGGTAGGCGAGGGGCTGAGTTCACTGACTTGAGATGGATTAAAGAAGCCACTTGTGAAGTCCTGCTGGAGACAGAAGGCCTCATTTCCTGTCTTGAGCTGATTGGTTCCTCTGTTAGACTGGCCTCCTCTGTTAGTTGTGGTCAGACTGCTGCAGTTCAACTAACCACTGAACAGCTCTTGAACTCTCTTGCCTCCTTCTGTCTGGCGGGGAAGGACTTGTTCTTGTGTGGGTGCTATGTATATGTGTTGAGGGTTAGGAAATAGATTGTTAGAGCCCTGTGTTCCTCGTGGTAATGGCTTCAAGGAGTGGAGTCTACAGCTGAGATTTTGAAGCTGATGTTACAGACAGTTTTCTCTGCTTCCAGTGAAATACAGATGCAGGCTGCATGGTGTTCCTCTCCCTAGTTAACAGAGTACGAGAACACATTTTCCAGAAACCAGTGAGCCATAGCAAGGACAAAGAAAACATAAGCATTTGGGCACATTCGATATTGCTAAAAGGTTGAGACATAGCCTCTCCCCATATTTATGTGTTGGTTGTTGAGCAGTTTTCTGTTTAGAAGTCCTGGGCTTGGCTCCACAGCACACAATAACCACTACCGATCTTAAGGCCTGCTCACCAAAGCTTTCATGTTGGCCTGCCAAAGTCCCCCACACAGACTGACTTTGCAGTTGGGCTGACCCCAGTAAATAGCTGTGGAGGCCCTCATATGTAACAAATCCTAAATCCAACATGCTGGTGAAGCGAGTCTGCCTAGAACTGAACACTGAGGCTTTGTATAGCATTGACAGCTATCTCTGAGCTGTGTGGATTTTGGCTTCATCCGCCTGGATGTTTTTTTTTGTTAGCTCAGGGTCATTTGTAGGAATATTAACTTGTTTTTAGACTGGGCTATGATAGAGGATTGGCTTTGGGTTGTTTTGTCTTTCCTTTTAGAACTTTCTGGTCTATCCTAGGCTTTTCAAATTTGGGACATTGTTTATTTTAGCCTTTTTCAGTTTTCCTCCCATAATACCAGCTTTTCTATCCTGCTGTCAGTTGGTCTGCAGTGTAGCAAATATCCTCCTCTCTCCTCCCTAGTTTCCTATGTCCTTGGGAGCTGGAATACACACTTGTCAAGGCCGACATAAATGGAGAATCAACAGATGCTGAGGGAAGTGAGGATGGAGAATTCCTGGCACTTTGTAGGTGTGAGCACAGACACCATGGAGCCCTTTTTCCTTTGGCTTGCTTCTGGAGTTGGTGTGCGTCACTTCATCATCCTTTCCTAGGGGTGTCTGAGGCCCAAGGGGCTACAGAGGAGAAGCAAAGAGAGAATACCTTTGTAAGGAGCGATCCGAGGTGCTGCACAGGCGTGCACCCTGCCTTCCGGGCAGCTGTCCATTTGGATGTGGAAGATGTAAAAGCAGATGATTGGGGGCCAGAGAGAGAATGGTGGGGGAGACCCAGGCAAAGCACTCCTTGAAATGTTACTGCTAGGGGAGCCATTGGATTTGGTTGTTGTTTTGGCCCGTCATTGAACTTGAACTCAGATCCTGGGTACTGTCCTTGGGCTTCTTTTGCTCAACTTTAGTGCTCTACCCTTTGAGCTGCTGCATTACTTCTGGCCTTTCCTGAGTGTTTTATTGGAGATGAGTCACAGGCTTTTCTGCCCAGGCTGGCTCCAAATTTTGATCCTTAGATCTCAGCTTCCTGAGTAGTTAGGATTATAGGAGTGAGCACCTAGCGTCATTAGGATTTTTAGTGAAGTCTTTTAAGCACACAGAAAAGGAAAATAAAGACCTGAGTCTTCCCAGTACCCTGTTTCAAAAAATATACTTCATGTGGCCTTGTTTGCTTCAACTTTTGAACACAGTAGATCTTTAGTCTGCTGTGTAGACCTGTGGATTCTCAGACTTTTCCCTCCACATTCTTGCCAACAACCAGAATGTTAAGACCCGGAGTTTTGCCAGTCTGAGGCATGTAAGGTGCCACTTTAGTACCAGTGACAGTATATATCTTTTTCAAGGTTTTGTTGGCCATCTGTCCTGTTTGCCTCCTTTGCCTGTTTTCTTATTGTACTGTTTTGCTTTCTGTCTGCAAAAAGTTCTTTATGGTGTATTATAGTTGGTCTGTGACTTGTTTTTCAAAAGACACATAAGTACATAACATGTATATAGAATTATGGACACATATGCATACGTATGTCACATATATGACTTTTTACCCCCCTTGGGAAATCGGTGAGAGTGAAAAAGGCCAGAGGCTGGAGAAATAGGGAGCGGATGACAGCTCTGGCCTGAGCAGCCTCTGTGTGTGTGTGTATATAGCAGTTGTCTATGTATGTCAGCCGGCCCCATCCATTGTGGAACAGTTAGCATGCCTTTTCCAGGCTGTTTTATGGGTGTTGGGCTGCCAAGATGTGTCCCACAGGTCCCAGGGAATCTAAAGACTGCCATGGTGGCATACTGATGGGCAGAAGGGTTTTAGAGGGCTGCCTTGGACCAAAAACAAAACATGGTTTGTGGTTTTTGGTTTCCACATTTGGATTTTGGCTGAGGTCAGACTTTGGTTTCCACTTGATCACATTGAGGCATTCTTTGGCTCACAGCCACTTAAAACGATGAAACCTGTCATTTTCATCCAGGTCTACTGTTGTTTGAAGTGACGTGGGCCCATCATCCTCAAAACGGAGAGTTGTTTCTTGTTCCACCCCTCTGCTTCCTCTGATCTTCCACATGAAAACCTTCTAGGTTGAATACTTGAAAAAAAACTGTGCAGTCCTTTGGGACTACCAGCCCGTGACGTTTACCAAAGCCTGGTGGCTGTGATTGCTTTGCTTCAGCAATAAGCGAGGTAGAGGAGGAGTTAGGGAGCACTTAGATGCCATGCTGTTGAAGACCACTGAGGGATGCTGGAGCTCGTTTGCCCCCAGCACCATAGTAATCCTCAGGGCTGGGCGTGGTACACACTCAGGTGCTATAATCCCCATATGACCCTGCCACACATATCTGACCCTTTCTCATCATTACACCATTGTTGCTTGCTGGAAGACATGCCACATTCTGAATTTCACAACCGATGTAACTGTGGAAATGAGTGTCATGTTCTCTGAGCCTGTGCGTCGTGCCAGACTCAGGACTTTTTTTTTTTTTTTAATGTATCATTCCATGCTGAAATGAAAGCCGAGTAGCAAGCTCAACATGATAGACTGAGACAGGACCAGTGCCTTGCCTAGCAGAGCTCTGTGGCTGAATTTATGTTCTGCATTTCTTTTTTTTTTTTGAGTGGTCCTGGGCCTTGAACTCAGGGCCTGGGTGCTGTCCCTAAGCTCTTTTTGCCCAAGGCTAACATTCTTCTCACTTGAGCTGCCGCACCACTTCTGGCTTTTTCTGTGATTAATTTAAGAGTCTTAGGGACTTTCCTGTCCAGGCTGGTTTTGAACCACGATCCTCAGATCTCAGCCTTCTGAGTAGCTACGTAAGCCACAAGTGCCCAGGTTGTGTTCTACATTTGTTGTTGTGAATGTTTTAAATATTTTTTTAAACGAGATACCACATTTCCAGATTTCGTTCAATCTTGCAAATTGCCTAGTCAGTCTGGGCCACAGATACAGCAACCAGGGCTCAGAGAGGTGAAATAGTTTTGCCCAAGACAGCAGAGTTGAGATTAGAGTCGTCTCTTCTTGGCCGCTTCCTAGATTGCAGACAGCTCTGGGAAATGAGCCTTGTTTGAATTGCATTGGAAGGAGCGGGGATGTGAATTGCACTGTAGAAATAAGCTTTGCCGTGGAGTTTTACTTATATATTGAATGTAATGTTGACTTTATACCGCCAAGTTGCCAGCCCAGGTCCATCCTTTATTTTAAGGTCCCGGAAGGTGCCCTAAACAAGGAGGTGGTCATTGAAACCCTGGGATCGTGTGGCCTTCTTTGGTGACAAACAAGAACTCAAGAACACTGAGTTGTTTGTTTAGTTGCAGAGGAGACATGAGGAATGAGCTGGTTGGTAGCGAAGCAAGCAGAACCATCTCTTGAAGCTCTCTTAGTAATCGTGTGATCCCTTCCCCTATTCCAGAGGTTCATTGACCCTGAGTCGATTGAGTATTCCTTCCAGCTTCAGTTTTCTCCCTGTGTGCCTGCTGTCACCAACCATTCCACTCTTGGGTGCACCAGGAATGAGTGTGCTTTAGACTTAGTAGAAGATATTCCCCTTTGCCCTAATGATGACGGGGGAGAAAGGACCTTTGCAATCGAAGGGTCTCACTCTCCACTTGTCTTATTGCACTCAAATCTGGTGCTCTACCACTGGAACTACACCTCCACTTGTAGTTTTTTGCTGGTTAAGTGTAGCTAAGAACCTCATGGACTTTTCTGCCGAGGCTGACTTAGAACTGTGATCCTCAGCTATCAGCCTCCTGAATAACTAGGAGTACAGAATTGAGCCCTCAGCTCTGGCAAGAGAAGGAATCTTGTCCTGCCAGGTCACACTAGCTCTGTGTTGGTCCTAGTTCCTGATTTAGAGAGGGTTCTAGGTCCCCAGAAAACTGACACCCCCCCCCACCCACCCACCCACCCACACACACACACATTTGGTGACTTGCTTCATTCTCTCTTGGCAGCATCCAATCCTCTGCTATGCTCCACTGCCCGCTACCACTGCAGGAACGGCGTGTGCATCGACAAGAGCTTCATCTGCGACGGGCAGGATAACTGTCAAGACAACAGCGATGAGGAAAGCTGTGAAAGTTCTCAAGGTAGGAGCCGCTCAGCTCTAAAAAAGTCATTGCAGCACCACACGGCAGTCACACAACAACAAACCCAAGAAGGAGGACACAGGACCCACACCCGCCTCCAGACACAGCAGCTCTGTTAATTTTTGCACTTGGCCTTACAGCCCTTCCATGGGTAGGTACAGGTGTTTGTCTGGTCCTGGCTATGATGCACCTGCCATCTTGCCGTGGCATTCTTGCTATATTAATTGTCATATATACGTACATTGGCTTCTGCTGTGTTATACACTGTTGTGTTGCTGTACTGTCGTTTTCCAAGTCATTGCGTCATTGTGGGGGTAGCTTTCTTTCCATTAGTCCTTCTTTAGGATTAAATTCTGCAGCATAGAATGCCTGTGTGGGTTACAGCCACATTCTACCATGTAGCTGTTGAGAAAGTTCTGAGTTTACACTGCTGCTTGCGTCGCCTGAGCCTGCAGTCATGGCACAGACATTCACTGCTCTTCTGTGTTTTTGTTTCTTTTCCACTTTTACACATGTGGTAGTCCTGGAATGATAGACTCCTCAAACACTGTCGTCTACATTTCTGTGATTATGAGCAGAGTCTTCCCCCCCACCCCACCCCCACACCTTGTGTTTGTTTACTACTTTTTTTCCCCTCTCTTGTGAATTGCCTGAGCTTACAAGGCTCTTGATTTGGGAGCTGTTTTGTGGGAATTGAAGGTTGCAGCTGGCAGATGGATGTGTTAAGAGAATCTGGGTGGAAACAGTGGAATGAGATTGTGTTTGCTCCTTCAAGACTGACCGGGTGCCTTCCTAGGTGGGCTAGTTGCCTTATTAGGTGCCTTATTAGGTACTGAACTAAATGACTCTAGTTCAGTAAACTAGCCTCCTTCCCTCCCTCCCTCTCCTCCCTCCCTCTCCTCCCTCCCTCCCTCCCTCTCTTTTTACCTTTTTCTTTAAGTCAAGGTCTTTCTATGCAGCCTAAGCTGGCCTGGAAACTCAAAATCCTGCTGGCCTCAGCCTTCCTCCCTCTCCCTCTCCCTCTCCCTCTTCTCCCTCCCCCCCCCCCTTTTGTAGTAGAAGAAAGAAAGAACCTATGCTTGGGACTCTGCTGCTGTTGCTGCCTCTTCTTCCTCCTGTCTCCTCCTCCTCCTGTTTCCTCCTCCTCCTTCTTCTTTGCAATAGGGCTATTTTCTATTATAGGTTAGCTTGATGGCCTTTAAAAATGTAAACATACCATTACTGGATGAATGCATATTAAGCACCATTCATTATTAACAAAGGAAGGAAATGGTATCATATGTGACTACAAGGATGAATCTTTCCTTTTTTTGATGATGTATGTGTGATTTTATTTATATTTACTACTTGTTGGCCTTGAATATAACATTCATCATATAATCAACATTAATAAAAGGAATAGGTATTTCTGAAAATTATTGAAAGGCAAGGTATTTTTATATAATTTCTATATAATTCATATAGTTCTTTATATTTAAAGGTATATTATTTTGTGCAGATATCTGTGTCTGAATTCTTTCATCTAAATTCAGAGACTAACATCTTCTATTTATTCAATAAATGTGACATACAGGTAATATATTAAAAGCCATATATCATAATAGTGGAAGCTGTAATCAATTCAAAAATAACTCAAAACAGAATGCAAACATTGGATAGATCTTATTTTTTGATCCAATCTGCTGTTCTTCTTTTGATTGGGGAATTGAGTCCTTTAATGTTTAAGGTTATTTTAGAAAGATGTGTCATATTTCCTGCCATTTTCTTATTTTTCTGTATTTTGTTTCTGTCCTCTTCCTGTGTTTACTAAATTGATCTTATAGTGATTGTTGTCTGATGTTTTTCTTTGATTTTGATTGTTTTCTTCAGATTATATTCCTCCTTTTAGAATTCTTCGTAATGCTGGTTTAGTGATAACAAATTCCTTTAAGTTTTGTCATGGAAGGTTTTGGTTTCACCATCTAATGTAAATGATAGCTTCTCTGGGTATCAGTTTGGGTTGGCAGTTGTTTGATCTTCAGTGCTTGGATTATACCATTCCAGGCTATCCTTGTGGTGAGGGTCTGTGTGGAGAGGTCTATAGTGATTCTAATTGTAATATAGCTCTCAGCCTCTTGAGTGTTGGAATTACAGGTGTTCACCAACTGGTTAATGTGTATGTCTTCAATGATTAGAAAGAGGTACAAAGACTTAAAAGGTACATTTATTTTAGGGCATCCTAAAGAGTGTATTTCTAATGTTATAAACTGGTATGCAACCTATAGTTTTTCAGTTAATAATATTATACAGCTGTGATTCACCCTTGTTATTACTTGTTGATAGAGCTCATTTGTTTTGATTGTTACACAGTCTTCTGCTTCATAACTGTACCACCATTTATAGATTTAATAAAACTAAAATGATGTGCAGGAGAGTTAACTGGTTACTTATGTGTTGGGAGGTAGCTGGATTGGGAAAGTTCCATATGAGTTGACATAGACTATTGTCAAGGTCCTATCTTTTATTTTGGTGGGTTCTTTTGCCTTATTACAAATGAATAATGATGAACAAATGGGTCCTACATAACAGCACTGATCATCCACCCAGGTTCGTGATTACTCCATTATCTATAAACCTGCAGCCACAGAAGAGAGAAAATGTGGATGGTCACAGATTTTGCTAGGACTTGTGCAGGGAATGGTTTGGAAATCTCTTTCTTGGGTATTCTCTTCAGCAGTGGTTCTCAAAGTCTGATCCTCAGTCCAGCAGCACGCACAGCATGTGGAAACTCCTTGGGAATACACACGTTGGACTCCAGTTCAGACCATTCGAGTCCCTTGTAAGGCTGTCTGTGTGCCATGTAGCAAACTGTGCAAATGATTCCAAAGCACACTGATGTCTAAGAGCCCAGGAAATTCTTTAGCGAGCATGTACATGTGTCTGTGCATTCATGCATGTGTGTGTACACGTGCGCACGCACATATGCATGTGTGTTTGTACTGGTATTGATGTCAGGGTCTCACACTCTTCACTCAGCTTGCTTGTTTGTGATTAGAGCTCTTATCATTTGAGCCATGCTTCCAGCTCAGCATTTTGGTGGTTAATCACCGATGGAGTTTTACAGACTTTTCTGCCTAGGTTGCCTTCAAACCTTGCCTTTTGATCTCAGCTTCCTGAGTAGCTAGAATTATAGGCATGAACTACCATTGTCCAGCTAAGGGAAGTTTTTAATCCTGTCATTTGCCTAGTAATATCTGAACTTCTGGGTGTTGCTAAACTTTCCACATAGTCAAATATGTATAAACTAAAACATGTATAAACTAAAACATATAGCAAAGTATAGGCAGTGGCAGATGCCAAGCAGACAACAGCCATCACAAAGTCAAATAAATAACTAGTCTTGATAGGAGGAGCTCAGGACATTTTTTCTGTAAATACAGTTTCTTGTGTGTTTATATAGCTTAGATTCATTTACTCATGGGGCCTGATGTTTCCAAAGAAAAGGGCTCCCAAGTCAGAGCCTTGAAGGTGAGGGAGTTTGACATTTGGATGAATCCTTTCCTCTCCTATGTTTATCTGATCTACTGACCAATGCAAAATTCCCCTTGCCCTTAACTTCTTAAGGTGAAGGTCCCTCTGTGGGCTGGTTGAAGTTAGACTTCTAAATTCTACTTCCTCTTCCTCTTCTTCTATTTCTTCCTTCTTTCTCCTCCTCCTCCTCTTCCTCATTCTCTTCCTCTTCTTCCTCCTCCTCCTGCCTCCTTAGTTTCCTTTTTATTTTTTTTTCCATGCCAATCCTAGAACTTGAACTCAGGGCCTAGGTGCTGTCCCTTAGCTTTTTTTTGCTTAAAACTAGTACTCTGTGACTTGAGCTACAGCTCCACTTCCAGCTTTTGATGGTTAATTGGAAATAATCGTCTCATGGACTTTGCCACTCAGGCTGGCTTTAGCCTGCCATCCTCAGATCTCAGCCTCCTGAGTAGCTAGGATTATAGGCATGAGCCACTGGCCCCGAGCTCTGTTTCTTTCTTCTTATTCGGCTCTTATAAAGTTAGAGGCAGATACTTTCATTTCAAGCTCAGCTCTTACTTTCATATAATCTCAGGTTTGTGCTTATCATACCCTGATGGTCTCCTTCAACAAGGCACACATTCATCTGCATCCCCCAGGCAGTTAGCAGCACCCATCAGCTGCCATTAGTATAACAGCCTTCACACAACACGCCCATTGTCATATCATCATTGTTAGCCTCTGAAGAACAGAAAGAGGAAGGAAGGGCACTGTGGCCTCTTAAATCCACAATGTCTTGCACATACAGGATTCCTGAGGTGCTGAAGAATAGGAAAGATTTCTGTTCTTGTTACCTTATGTTTAACTTGCAGTCTGTGCAGTATTGTCCCATACAGTTATTTAAAATAGGTGAGTGAACTCTGCACAGCTTATTCAAGCAGTAAGAAGTTGCTGTTGTTTCAGTAGAGTAGAAGGTTCAACCATCCTCTCAGGAGGAATGTGGCCCTTGGGGGACACAAGGGGTGAGTATTAGATTTGTAGTACACCTGCCAGAGGGTGCTTTTGAAATCCCATGTGCTTTGTATGTCTCCCTGCACCACATGTGTAAATAGTATTGAAGGTCTGCCTGTCTCAGTCAACCCCTGTGGCCTCTAAATATAAACTACTTGTTAATCTTGCTGTTTGAACAAAGGAATGCTAATGCTATGGGAAAATCTGCCTCGTGCTGGACTTTTGAGACATAGGCTTCATGCTGTGTCTCCCCAAAGCATAGCTCCTAAAGTACCTTGACCAGACAGAATGTAGTCTTATGTACGTGAGTTTGCCACACCTTGCAGGCCAGCTGCCCAGCTGTGCCTGAGTTCATTTAGTCCAACCACATCCCATCGGCTACTTCTGGGTTTCAAAGCTCTTAAAAATACATCATTGCATTCAGTTGATGATTATATTTGATAATACTTATTTAGAGGTGATGGAGAAAACTGGATCCAAGACAGTGAAATGTGCTGCAA